GACAAATTTAGCTATGGCCATGGCTAGGTGCCAACTCGTTAGTATGGATGTGATTAGACAAATTATGCTTGCGCGATAGGTGGTATCCTACTATTTTTACGTGAGCAACATCGATTTTCCCGACGTGTATGGGCTGGCCTGTGCACTCTATTCGATATCCTGCATTTTATTGACACGGCCCTTAAGCTCTAGTTTATTGAAAATAGGCTTTTCGGCCAGAGGGTGCTGGCGAAGTTTTCAGAGTTGCTTTCCTGCGAAAAATGTCATTAAGAACGTTAACTTAACAATTTAATTCGCTTTTCATACAAATAATGTACAACCTCCAAACGCAAAATTACATCTTGTCATAGGATTTTTAACTTTGTTTGGAATAAAAGGAATGAAGAAACGCACTGTATGGCCTTTATATGGTCGCAGTCTCCTTTCGTTGCACAGAAGTCGTTAGACCTTGTTTTCACAACTTGTTCGTATTGTCAGGAAGACCTAGACCTTGTTCTGAGTCCTTAGTACCCGTGGTAATTTCCAGCGTCTGACCGTAGACTTAGTACTTTCGCAGACTTTTTTCCGGCATCTTAGTCGGCATCTTCAGTGATCTTTACCACTCTCACCATCACATTACAACTCGTCAAAGAGACAGATGAAATTGTTTTATGCCCTTTAGTTCTGGTGCTTTCAACTCTTCCCTATCACCCATTCACTATCACTATACTTTAGTTTAGCTAATAATAAATAGTTTCGTATGCAAAAAAATTTATGAATTAAAAGGACATAAACAACATTTTGATTGATGACAGTCACATCCCAAATGGGCTTTTTTCTTTCAAATAGGTCCAACTAGTTTTTCATTCGTCACTGAGGAGACCTCTCCGACAGCCAAAACGCCCACGGCACCTGGCTTCCCGAACCCGACATCTCTAATCTCGCTTTCTGAGCAGAATAGCTTTACTTCCTCAGGACTTGTGACTGTGCGGCCCTCGATTGAGGAACATCTCTTTGCAGCTCCCTCCTCTTCCACGTCCATTATCAATGGCTCTCCGGCCACTGCCCATAACACCACTTCACGTGTTTCAATTCACCAGCATTATCAACCACTCCACTCTTCTCCCTCATCCTTCAACTCCTCCTCGGCCTCTGGGGAGCACCTTGGCCGGTCGGGTGCTTACCTGTCTCCTACCGACTTTTTTGCAAACTCTTCGGTTTTGCCGACACTGGAGGCAGTGGGTCATATGCCGGCGGTGACGCTTGCGATGACCGGGCTGGATCTTTCAGACGCACCCACCAGAGAGCCTACCAACTGCACCACAGCTGTCGACGACTTCGGCTATTCCGGTAGGGCAAGTTTGGCCTGAATCGAGTTGGTTTCATTTCTTCTCCGTAACTTAGTCTTGTTTACAGGGGGTCTCTTCTGCTGCAGTTGTCCTATGCTCTTGCAGAATCCCACCGTTGACTTGCTACATGTCCAGACCTTTCGCCGACATAGAAGTCGGCACCGTCTCCAAGGTCCCTTGCCAACTTACAACAATGGCAAATTATGCAGTATCGGGTATGTTTTTGGCGTCTCTCTGCAAACCCGATTAAGTGGAGGAAGCAAGGTCAAGCAAACTCTATACCAACAAAGGAGACTGCTTCCAACCTAAGGACACGCAATCTTCGTTTTCATATCTGCGAGCCAGCTTGCCGGAGTCGGTTGGTATTTGAGAGTCATTAGGGCCTCTTGGCCTATTGTATTAAGCCTGGATCACT